GCCCCCCCCCATACAGATCTTTAATGGGGGGGGGAGCGAGGGGGATGGTCCTCTCCCCACATAAAAAAAGGCTCCACTGGCTGAAATGTTTCTCTTGAGCAGCTGTAGTGGCAAATCGGGGGCCATCGAAGGCCATCCACCGGGGGGGGGGGGGGGGGGTGGCAAAAAAAGCCAGGGGGGCCACCCTTGGCCCCCCGGGCCCCCTTGGTGGGGGCAACCTGGGCTTTTTGACCCTTCCCCCCCGGGGGCTTCCTTGGGGGGGGGGGGGGGGGGGTTTCAGAAGGGGTGGGCTGGCTTTGTATCTGGGGAAGAACCTCCCCCTGCCCCACCTGTAGGCTGACAAACAGGTGGAGAAAGCCCACGTCCGTATTTCTTACCAAGGAGGACGTGGGCTCACTTGTCAATGGAACAAGTAACGCAGCCTTTCTCAAGCTCGACAACGGTGTGCACACGGCTCCATTTGTGAGACTGGCAGGCGCGCACACTCTCCACTTGCGCAGATGGGGCGTGCACAAGAGACCTCCGCTCACACCAATGCCCTCCACTTGCACAAGCAGAGCTTCGCACGCACGCTTGCCCATCTCTCCTGCAGCCAGTAATGGGCCGTGGCCTGGAGGTTCAGGACCTCTGCCCCAAAGCATCTTTGGCCCTCCCTAAAAGACCCAATCTCCGCTATTTTCACCCTCCTGGATCCCACGGTTTGCCCCCCACCCCCCATGCTGACTGTTGTGACTCCATGCCTGCAGTTCCGCTGCCTCCCAGGCAGAATGGGTGCCTCATCAGGGCAGCCTTAAGAGCCCAGCTGCTGTTCTTGGCCTCTTCCAAAACGGGGACATCTGGAACAGGAAAACCTCTCAGGCCGGCCAATTCCTTGCTGCTTTGTCCCGCAGCTCCCAAGGAGGTGGGTGCAAAGGACGACTGCAGCCCCCGGGTGGAGAAGCCCCCTGGCTGGAATGGGTGGCGAGTTCCTAATGCTGGAATGCCAGGGCGGCCTTTAAGCGGGCACAACTGGTTGGGCCCAGGGCTGCCTTTTGATCTCCACAGCTCGAGAGAGTGAGGCAAACCAAACTCTTACGCGGGTATCCTTGACTTGCAACCATAAAAAAGAACATATAGTCCCTCATTACGCAGTGCAGTTGTTAAGCAAGGCATCGCACTGCCGCACCTTATTTCGTGGCCTTTTTTGCGGGGATTTTCAAGCGAAGCATCGCGTGACTGCAACCTGCAACCTTCCTGGTAGCTTTCCCATCCACTTTGTGGGAAGCTTGCACATGGCAACACAACACAAGCCCAGGTTGCTGCAGCAGCCATAAACACATGCGGGTTGCCAGACATCCGAATTGTGACCATGTGGCCATGGAGACCCTGTGACAGTCGTGCGAGGATCGATTTATATGTCACTTTTTTCTCCACCGTTGTAACTTTGAATTGTCACTAAATGAATGGATGTAAGTTGAGGATTACCTGTCCTAGATGCAGACATGTTTACTCTTAGGCCTGATGGCAGAGCCTACAGCCAGGAAGGACAGCCATCCCTGGCCTTGGAAGATGGGATGGAAAAAGAGGCCTCGGAGCACAAAGCTGCCCTCTGCTAGCCTTCCCTGCTTCTGTCTTGGCAGAGAGGGGAAATTTACACTTTGAATGCCCGCTCAGCAGCCCCAGAGCCTGGTCTCCCTGCGACTTCCTCTAACGGGCAGAGCAGTTCATGGCTCTGAGCACACCTGCGTTTTCCTGCAAGAAACCCAACATATGCTAGGCAGTGATGCAAAAATGACCTGCAAGGTCTTTTTTTAAAGGGTAGCATCTGACCACCTCATTTTCGTTATTCTTCATCAGATGTAATATGCTTGTGGGAAGGAAGAAGGGAGGGAGGGAGGGAAGGCTACATTAAGGCAAAATGCTAGAAATGACTACCCAGCAGTGCCTCCCTCTTGTCCAGCCTGGCAGAGCTGAGGGGAAACCTCCCTCCCTCCCCCCACAGCCCCGTCACTGTATTTAATCAGCTTTCCTGCCTTCTTGCTTAAAAGCTCTGGATTTACTGATGAGCTTGTGTCTTAATCTCTCTGTCTCCTCATTTACCATCATTATTGGTATCCATCTGTCGGAAGATTTTTTCCGTCCGTTTCTCAGGGGTGGATTCGTCATCTGGCATCTTCATCACCGATGAGACCATTTTGTAGATAGCCTGGGGAAAAGGAAGAGGAGCAGGGTCAAACGCTGTCGCGGCTCTGGACCCCCCCCCCCCCCCCAAAAAAAACCCCCTACAGTGGGAAACGGGGCTTGCCCTGAACAAGGCCGGCACAGGTGGGTTGGAGGGGGGCACCCCTGATGCATCCCCGCAGGTAAGCCTGGCCAATTGGGGCGGCCTGCTTGGCAGCTGGCAGCCCCACTTTGCCTCTACGACGTCTGCCTCTGGTCTTGACATGGGTAAGCTGGACCCCCCCTGACCCATCAACCCAACCCAATATGCTCCTCCTTGCCAACGAACTGGTTTGCAACGGCCACCGCTTATCCCAGTGTGGAAACTGAAAACGAGCAACGTTCAATGTTCTTCAGTATTGCAGGTAGTTCTCGACTTACGACCATAATTGGCCCCCAAATTTATGTTACTAAGCGAGGCAGTTGAGTTTTGCCCCATTTTACACCCTTTCTTGCTTAAGTGAATCACTCCAGTTATTAAGTGAATAGCGCAGTTGTTGAGCGAATTTAGCTTCCCCAGGGCCTTCGCTCGTCAGAAGGTTGCGGAAGGGGATCACGTGACCCCTGGACCCTAAAACGGTCATAAATGGGAGTCTGTGGTCAAGCATCCGAATTCAAATCATGTGGAGAGGCTGCAACAGTCATGTGAAAAACGGTCATAGGTCACTTCTCTCAGTGCCATTGTAACTCTGACAGTCACTAAGTGATAAGTTGAAGACTACCTGGATTAGAAATACATTTTTCTTGCAGTTTTTGCTGTTAAATTGTCTATGTGCAATTTGGAAAATAAAATGTTCAGTATGAATGTTACAGTTCTATCATGTCTGGGTAATGAACAGATTAACAGAGTTGGAAGGGACCTTGTAGGTCATCTAATGCTTTAGAAAACAGCCTGACCCCCTCCTCCTCCTCTCTGGGGCAGCCCCTCAAATATTGGAGCACTGCTCTCCTGTCTCCCCTGGTCCTTCTCTTCCCTAGACTAGCCAGGCCCAATTCCCACAACCGTTCATCATATGTTTTAATCTCCAGTCCCCTCATCATCCTGGTTGCTCTTCTCTGCATTTTTTCTAGAGTCTCAACATCTTTTTATGATGTGACGACCAAAACTGGATGAGGACTCTAGGTGTTAGATAGGGCCCAGTGTTCATCTGGATCTTGAGCATACTATCATCTAAGGCAGGGGTGTCAAACTTGCAGCGTCATGGCAGCATCACATGACGCATCGGGACTTCCCCCCCCCTTCGCTAAACTGGGTGGGGGTGGGGCCATCACGTGACACATCTGGCCTGCGGGCCGCAAGTTTTACATCCGGGATCTAGGGTGTTGGCTATTCCTGCCAGCTTAGTATCCTGCACAAATAGATGATGATCCTTGAATTAGGACTGTAATGGGAGCCTTCCCACCACAGTTGTAACTCATGATGGTCGCAAAGCAGGCTGGTCATGGGAGTGACCTGATTTTAGGACAATTTTTGCAGTAGTTGTTAAGCAAGCTGGATGGTCATTGTGAACCACAGGTGCGATTTTGCCCAAACCAAGAAGTAACTGCCAGTTTTCATCAAAACCTTCGTAAAACAAGGTCATGTGATTGGGAGACACTGCAAACATCTGTAAATGCAGCCCTGTTGCTGAGCACCCAATGTCCAGGCGTGTGACCAGAGGGCGATTGTCTGAGCTTCGAATCCAGATCGTAAGCCCCCCTCTGGCCATCGAAACTGTGAATGGCTGCTAAAGCTGTTGGCCATAACTCAAGGCTTTAACTGTATGGCCTTTTCTAAACAAGCCTTGCCCCAGACTGACTCCTTTGAAGACCTGTATGACTAGATTGTCCATCATCCCCAGCCAGCACGTTTATTGTTATTCTATGGGGAGAAGGTGAGGTCATCCCAGCTCTGGAGACCAAAGGAGGAAAGGTGCTCTCAGCCTGTTGGCTCTCATCTCTATCCCCGAGGGGGCTTCTTCCGCTCCTTTTCTGCTCCTGGGGCCGAGAAAGATGCCTTTAGCACAGGCCAGTTGGGGCTCCCGGGGCCCCCAGGCAGCTCAGGACAGATCTGGTGGAGCAGAAGCATTTTCTTCTATCATACTCAGCCAGCCTGTTATTTCCCAGCAGACCAGGACTGAAGACGTTGGCAATTCACATGCACAACTTGATTGCTGGGCTTTTAACAATAGAAGGGGAATCAACCAGAATGGGAGCAGACAGCTCAAGCAGGCTGGTCCTTTGGGAAAAGCAACGGTCCAGAGAGTAGCCTGAGGACAAGACCGGGCAGCGAAAAATAAACCTTTTTGTTCAAATGAACCCAAATGGAGCACTTCAGAGACACAAGTTTCCAGAGGGTAATGGCCAAATTAAGATGGTGACTGTAATGGCAGCTGCACCTATTTTTATATGCAATGTATTTTATGTGCAATGCACTTTTCGAACCAAAACTGTGAGGATAGCCTGCATTGCAATGTTGAGCAGCGTCCAGCAGAGGGCACCACAGACACGGGCAGGAGGAAGAAGGTAAGAGGAGACCAAGACCTCCACCTGCCCTTCTGGCTCGTCTTCTAGAAACTCCATGCTGGATGCTGAGCGGAGAGCAGCGCGTTTGTCTGCCAGCTGCTTTTTAATGGCCAGGGGCATCTGGGTTACCCCATGGCAATAAATCCAATGCCCCAATTGTGAACTGGGCAAATTTGTTAATGACACTCACAAATGTATTTAGCCAGGCAGCGATCCAGCAGATGCGTCCACACAGCATGCTAGAGATACTTTCAGCGTGGTATGAATCCAGCGTGTTTGATTTGTTTATTGTTTGATGGATTATGGAAACTCAGACCAATTAATTCAACTCCCAGATTAATGCGGCCACTGAATGATTCTCTGGGTCATCCAGTGTCCTTCTTCCTTGGCTGGCCCCAAATTATAATCCAAACTTGGGACTTGTCCGAATTGGAAAGCCACCTGCCAAACGATGTGTGCCCGGTCTTTTCCAGGAGGCCTCCCTGTCCAGGAAGGCCCCATTGAGACTCATGAGCTTTCTTAGAAAACGGAAAGGATGCCTTTAGCTTTCTCTGGAACTGTGCCCATGTGCCCAGATAAAGGGCAATGCAGGGATGGTGCCAATCAGGAGGGGCAAGTGGGGAGACCTATCAAAATCATGCTTCGCAAACAGTTTGGGCAGCCATTATGGGAAGGACACAAGCCACCTCCCAACTACAGGTTTGCAAGGTTCCCACACCAATGCTGCAAACCTCCCCCCACAAAAAAACTCCCCCTTTTCAACTTCACATGGATGTAAAGAGGTGCCAGTCTCTGGTTTCTGGAGGACCCAGAGGTCTCCGCACCTCATCTTGGCATTTTTTGCAGTGTCCATTCCAATGCTTTAGACCTCTAAAACCAGAATCTGATAGTGAAGGTTGCCATCTACCTGCACCAAGAAGGCACCTTCTCAGCAGCGTTTTTTTTTTCTTTCCCCAGAGGCCGTTTCACTATTAAAATTCAGTTACAGCCCACAGTCCAAAAGATTCACAGCCATCTTGTAGCAATCTGAATTCATTCTGGCATTCCCCAGAAACCTCCCAGTAGCTGCCATAGCTTAGATGTAATCAAAATCAACAAATTGTATCTCAGTGTGGAACAAAAAGGAATCCACAAATTGAATTTGACTTTTAAAGCATTCCAGTTCACCTTCTGGGCAGGTGGGGGAATATTCACAGAAGAAGATACTGTTTTTAGAATACAACAAAACATGTTTTTCTTCTGGAAAACATCACCAGTGAAGGTCCATTTGATGCAGCATTGTTCACAGAACACATTAAGCTGCATTTGTGACACCATGTACACTGTAATCCTAATGGTGCTTTAGTCAATAAAGCAGACCTAAACAAGAGATGACTTACCGCGATGTTTGTCATCCCTGTTCCTACCTGGCCAATACCCAGAAATATAACCTTGGGCCCTTTGCAAGTGTGATCCATTCTGCATGTGCATAAAATGAATCTCTGATGTCTGCAAAAACACATTTGGAGGGAGCAGAAGAGAACTGTAGGAGAGTGAGAACACAAGTAACCTTCGCTCTCCCCCAATTTCCTTACTCTAATCTGCTCCCCGCTGCACACCGTTCTGCCTCCACCTACCCCACCCAACGCAGCCTGCACCCACAGAGGCGCCCAAGGCGAAGGAGGCGGGGCTTTCATTCTGAGCCAAGGAAGAAAGTCTCAGGGGTATCCAAAGACATTTTTTTCTAGGGAATTTCTAGATGGCTCTGCTGCCTCCCACACTGAGCATCCTGTTCTCCCACGCAGCTTCTGCTTTTCCTTTCATTCCCCAGAAGTCATGAAGGAAGGAAAGGCAGGAGAGCCGCCTCCCCCTCTGCCCATAGTGCTGAAACCTCTGCAGTGAAAGCAGCCAGATGCAAAACAGCTGACAGGGGTAACAAAAGGGGAGGAAAATGGGTGGAAAACTCTCCTCTCCCTCTGCAGCTCCAAGCCCTGTTCTGACCGGCTCTGGCTCAGTCTGAAAGCTCAAAGCTTTAATCAGTTTAATTGCTAGATTAACAGCACACTTAAGATTAGTTACCCTTTGCAGACTGGATTTTCCCACTCAGTAATTAGGGTCCCCTGCTTTAATCACTTCACTCAGCATATGAACCCAGGGCTTTAGTTGATTAATTGTGGAGAAGAAGATCTTTTTTTGGGGGGGTGGGGGGGCGATTTTAAGAGCCAGGAGAGCCAACTTCAGGGCCCATCCACTTATGGTGTCTGTTTTAGCTGCTTTGACTTCTTAGTTGAAGTTAGTATGGTTGCATTTAGATATTTAGAATATTGGGGTCCGCAGAAGTCAGGAGGATACCATTTGAAAAGGACAAGACCCAGAAATTAGGCCCCAAAGGGCTGTGAATTCCTCAGTTCTTCCCACCATTCCTCCTCTCCCATTTCTTCTCACCCGCAGAAGAGCCTGTTGTTGGGGCAGCTGCCCAGAGCAGGGAGGGAGGGAGGAAGGAAGGGAGGAAGGGAGGGAATGGGCGAGTCCTACAAGGTAATTGATGATTTCGTGACTGCCAGTTCACTGAACCTTCATGCCCTGTGTTGAGTTCACCAAAAATGTTAAATTTTAGTAAGCCTCTTTTAAAAACTAGCAAAAAAAACCCACCCCCACACCCCTGGCGTGCAATGGATGTTTGCATCTTGCCGTGACACTTGCACTAAAGCTGGTAAGCTGTCGAAAGGCGCCTCCCTGGTCGGTTCGCGGATCCAGGCCTTTGAGTTCAGCTCTAGCAACCCGTGAAGGCTCCACTATTGTGGGTTGCCAAGAGAGATCAGCAAAGGTTTTTCTTGGGAGGTGTCAGGACTTTGCTGGGGGGAAGGCGGGGGGCACTCACCTGGACAATCTCCAGCATCTCTTCCCTGCTGATGTAGCCATTGCCATCCAGGTCATACATGCTGAAAGCCCACATCAGCTTCTGCTCCAGTTTCCCCCGGGAGGTGACACTCAGCGCGATGATGAACTCTCGGAAGTCGATGGTGCCGTCACCATTGGTGTCAAAAGTGCGGAAGACGTGCTCAGCGAACTTGGAGGCATCCCCATAAGGGAAGAAGTTGGCATAGATTTTCTTGAATTCCTCCACGTTGAGGATGCCCGTGGGGCAGTCTTTCAGGAAGCCCTTGTACCACTCCTGGAGCTCCAGATCAGAGAATTCTGTGTTCTCCCGCAGGTCTTGGAGCATTTCTGGACGCAGCTTGCTGTTCTGCTTTCCCATGACTGAAGCGAATTGCGAGCTGAAACACAAAGTGCAAAAAGAACCTTGGCATTGACTCAGCCCACAAACCTGGCCATTTCTCTGGCTGCCTCCCCAGAGGAACCTCACAGCGGTCGTATGCTTGTTTATACAGGCTTCAGCATGCAACACTGAGTGCTAGAAACCTACTTCTGGGTTTTGAAATTGTTAAAAGCTCTGTGCTCTATGGAGTCATAGGACACAGAACACAGACAGGCCAGAAAATATGGGTGTTCCTGTTTCTGCTCCATTATCAAATGTTTCTGTGGTTTAAAGAAAGCAGGAAGGACATCACGACTCTTTGAAAGGCTAAAACCGCAGTGTCTCTTCAATCGATTTTGGTCCTTTGGAGGAAAAACGCACAAGCATCTTCCTCCAGCCAAAAATACCTCATTTTTCCCCATTCTGGAGAAGCAGCTCCACGAAATACACCCTGGCAAGGAATTGTGCTTGTTTTACTCAGAATTTTCACAGTTGCATTCAAGGCAATTTGTAACTTGGGAATGCAAAAGAAATCAGTGTGGATTAATAAAATGGCCAGAAGCAAAAGCTCTCCCCCTGGCACCAGAAGCAGAAGCAGCAAAATTAGTGGAAACGTTTTATGCAAGGCACATCTCAGGCTTGCAAAAATAAAGCCGCCTTGGCTTCATGCCCAAGAGAACCCGTCCATATTTGGCAGCAGCCAGGATTGCTGGGCCCCCACAAAACGGACAATCCTGGTCACCTCCTGTCCCAGGAGGCAACAGACCAGAAGCACCAGACTCTGCCAGCCCCAAACCCTCTGAAGTGGTTGGTTCCTGGGGACCCAACCACAGGGTGTTTTTTTTGGGGGGGGGGCTGGGCCCCTATGTGAATCCATCCTGTATAGAATTTAGTCTTGATGACTAAAATGGATTCGTTAATTTCAAGTTTGCTGGATGATCCAAATAATTCCTCTACAACAATGTTTCTTAGCCACAGCAGTTTTAAGATATGTCAACTTCAACTCCCAGAATCCACACATCTTAAAATTGCTGAGGTTGCAAAATACCTATTTGGAAGGAAAGATGTCATAAGTCCAAAAAAAAAGTATACAAATACATAAATTAATTCAGAAGATTTTAAAGTTCAATTGAAACCAGAAACTTTTTGGACTAGTGGATAAGTAACTAGAAAATAGTCACAGAACTTTCTTTTGATGTGTGATAACTACAGTGGCACTATTAAAGAAAAGGTTCAATCCTACCCACAGTGGAGGAACTTTTAGAGATAGTTAAATTGACCTTGATCACAGAGAAAACCCAATATCTACACTGATGGCTGACTGGAAACCCCTTATAGTCTTTTTGATGAAACAGAAAAAATGTATAAATGATCTGTGGTTTTGATTAGAAGAAAACATTAGATAATAGGAAAAAAAGTGACCTTTTTTTGTAATCATAGAATAAGAGAAAATTTAGCTATTGTACGTATATTTGCTGCAAAGGAAATTTGAAGCTTCTATTCCTTTTTGATTCCTTCTTTTCTGAACATTTCCTTCCTACCCTTCCTTCTTTCTTTTCTTTCTCTCTCTCTCTCTCTCTCTTTCTTTCTCCAGAGGTTTTATATTCTTTTTAAAACTTAAAATTTATACAAGACAAATGCCAGATTTTTTTTGTTGGTGATGCAAAACATTTGGGGACTCACTAACTCATCTGGTCTTATGAGAGTCTGACACTTTTTTGAAGTAATATTATGTGTACATTTATGGACAAATATTTTAACATTAATTTTTTTCAGTCATTAACCCTGTTATAGGTGATCCTTGATTTATGACCAATTGGTTAGCGACTGTTCAAAGTTATGAGGTATTCTGCAGGGCTACTTACCACCTGGTTCCAACAATCCCTCCCCCGCAATTGGTTGTGGGGCTGCATTTTGGGAGCTCAACAACTGGCTCTCATCTACAGTCACTTGCAGCATCCAGTGGTAACATGACCACAATTTATGTCATTTTTGACAAAAACTGATGTTTACTTTGGGCTCCATAGTGAACAATGACTGCAAAAAAGGCCGTTAAAATTGGGTTGGTCATCTGGGTGACCCACTTTATGACTATCCTGACTAGCTGTACAACCTATGGCCTTGCCAGGTTCTGTGCAGCGGTGCTCAAAATCCACTGGGTGGCGACCTGTGTAATAAACCGGATTTAATGGCCCGTAACTCACCACATTGGAATTTGTTGTAACTTGATAGCCTTCCACATAGTGGCCTTTCATACTCCTCTAAATCCAAGGGGGCCATGATGGCTCAGCGGTTAAAGAAGGTGAGTTTGCCAGTTGAAAAGCTGGCAGCCTGGGTTTGAGACCTGAACGCTATGCAATGGGATGAGCTCCCGTTCCTTGCTCCAGCTCCTGCCAGCCTAGCAGTTCAAAAGCATGCAAGTGTGAGTAGATAAATAGGTACCATTTCGATGGAAATGTAATAGCGTTCTGTGTACCTCTGGCATATAGCCATGGTGGGATTCAATTTTTTTTACTACTGGTTCTGTGGGCCTGGCTTGGTGGGCATTGCATGGGAAGGATACTATAAAATTTCCAGAGGTGGTATTTGCTGGTTCTCTGAACTACTCAAAATTTCCGCTACCGGTTCTCCAGAACAGGTCAGAACCTGCTGAAGACCACCTCCGCACATGGCCACAGAAATGTCTTCAGAGAATGCTGTCTCCCTTGGCTAGGAAATGGATATAAGCACACATACACACACCCTCGTGTAAGATACAAGAGGGAAGCTGCCATCTTTTTTACATGATCATCCAACTCCTTCTCACTTTTTATATACTTTCAGTTTTTAAGTCATGTATCCTTTATATCTTCTAGCATGTACAGTTTTTTTATATTTACATTATATTTACATTTTTACTGTACCTCACCTTCTTTAAACTGGTCTATAATTGTATTATAAAGGTCTGAACATTAGAAATGTAAATGTCATGCTAAATTATATCCCCAAACATTGAAATTTGACTGCATGGAATTACAGCTGTATCAGGCAGAGGTTACCGCTAAGAAGATTGCTTTAAGAAACTGAAAAAGTAGTATTATTCCCAGTTTTGGAAAAGAACCAGATTTCTTAAAGGTGCTATTCCAAGAGGCAACTGGGCTTTCTTTTCTTTGAAGATGTTTTGCTTCTCATCCAAGAAGCTTCTTCAGATCTTCAAAGAAAAACAAGGACGTCCAGTTGCCTCTTGAAAAAGCACCTTTGGGACAACTATGACGTGGATGACTGATAATCTCCACAGACAATCAGGTTTCCTGTTATTTTGGAACCGCTGTGTTGTTTCATTTCTGACTTTTCGGGCTTTCCCTTGGTGTGGCCGTGAAATGCTGGTGCTTCTCATGGGACAGCACAACTTCCTCCTGTCTCCCTCCCTGCATCCTCACCAGTGGTGGGATTCCATTTTTTTTACTACCGGTTCTGTGGGCGTGGCTCGGCGGGCGTGGCATGGGAAGGTTACAGGCAAAATCCCCCTTCCCTCCCCACCCCACTAACCTACTTTCCAGCTCCATTCTCCTGTGCAGGGCAACCAAAGGAGACCCAGCTGATCAACTGGAACTCCATGGGAGGCAGAGAATAGATGGGGTTGGCGGGGCTAGTCAGAGGCGGGATTGGCTGGTTCTCCCAACTACTCAACATTTCCACTACCGGTTCTCCAGAACTGGTCCAAGCCTGCTGAATACCACCTCTGATCCTCACGCTACTGTTCCCCCCCTCCGTCCCCTTACTGCCAGGCTGTCAGCCAGAGGCATAGCTTTGAAGAATGGAAGCCATGACACAGTCATTTAATCGGCAAAGTTACAATGGCATTGAAAAAAGTGACTTACGGTTGCTTTTCACACTTACAACCACTGCAGCATCTCCATGATCATGAGATCAACGCCCAGACTCTTGGCAACTAGCATCTATTTATGTGCACGTTGCCCTGTCCTGAGGTCACGTGATCACCTTGTAACCTTCCCAGCCAGGGAATGGAGGGGGGGGGCAGCCAGATTTAGAAGTGTAGTGATCCATTTAAACAACTGTGGCAAAAAAGGTCCTAAAATAGAACATAACTGGTTAACAAATGTCTTGCTTAGCAACGGAAATGTTGGGCTCAATTGGGTTATAACTGAAGGACTATGTGCATTTAATGTATATGCCATTCATCTCACTACTAGAATAGAATAGGAGAGAATAGGATTCTTTATTGGCCAAGTGTGATTGGACACACAAGGAATCTGTCTTGGTGCAAATGCTCTCAAAGCAACTACCAGTACTTACTTAAATTCTATGTGGTATGCTTAGATTACTTTTCTCCCCCTTTTTCTAGGCAGCACATATTAAAAATGGGATTTACTGGGTACTCCTGATTGCCATCCTGACTTTTTTGGGCCCTGCAGGGGATGCCCTAATTTCTTCCCCCTAAGCCAGGCAGGCAGAGTTCTGACGGAGTGAAGCTGGAATCTGTAGCTTTCTCTCCTCCAGGGGCAGGAGCTCTTCCTTCCCAAGGAAAGGGACCGATTTATACCAGAGACTGCTCCATTTGCAATAGCAAATGAAAAGGGTTGGTGGAATGGACATACAATAGGTTGGGACCTAGGAGATCATCTAGTCTAGTGCAAACCCCATCTCAAGCAGGAGACCCTAGACCATTCCAAACAAATGGCTGTCCAGTCTTTTCTTGAAAGCCTCCAGTGATGGAGCACCCACCACTTCTGAAGGCTCTTCCAGTGGTTCATTGTTCTCACTGTTAGGAAGTTTCTCCTTAGTTCTAGGTTGCTTCTCTCCTTGATGAGTTTCCACCTGTTGCTTCTTGTCCTTTCAGGTGCTTTGGAGAATAGGTTGACACCCCACCTCCAATCTTCTTTGTGGCAGCCGCCCAAATATTGGAATACTGCTATCCTATATTGACTGTTTTCTAGTATGATTTGATTGCCTATTGAACCCAATGACCATGATTCTTGATTCTTGACGAATGTATCTTTTCTTTTATGTACACTGAGA